ATCAGATATTTTAACTTGATTCAAATTTGGTATTAGGTGATAATTGGACTAATTGTAATATTTACTTGCTCATTAGCTAGCAAAAATCACATGCTTTCGCCCGGCTCAAAGTGTCAAACAACTATCTACCTCAAAAGTTTAAATTGTTTGAGATGTTGTAATTTAAATTTTTATATTTCAACACGTTTATTCACGTGTAAGATAGATTTTGAGCTTAACACGTGAATTTTTTTTAATAATTAGCGTGACAATAATATTTGAATACAAGATCTCGTATTCTGATATTATATTAAACAACTATTTATTCCAAAGACTTAGTCTGTTGAAAAGAGTATAACTTAAATATTTATATTTCTATACAAATGTTTCGTAAATTGGCCTAACCCATGTATGCTTCATTACAGCTTAACTATATATTCTTTATCTCTTTAGAATTTTTACTGACGATTATGTTTCCTGATGAATACATGGAGTCAAAGACGAAGTCAAAATTTCATTTTGGGAGGGGGCAATTGAAAGCGTACTGAAATTTTTTTATTCAATGTAGATCATTCATTAAGATTGTTAGCGTCAAATTTTTAGATGCATAGAGCATAGTAAACTCAACGTCACACCATATATTATAATTTTCAAAATCTACAGATTTGTACAACACCAAAATTTAATAATTTATGCAAATATCCCGATTTGAAATGGTTCAATATGATCAAGTCAATAGCCAAGGATAAAATAAAACTAAGATTACTAGTTAAGTGTCAAAAGTATTATTTTAAGAATTTAAAGAACACATAAAAAAAAACTTATACTTGAACCCATTTTACGCTCATGTTACGTCGAGATACTGCAGAAGAAAAAACTGTAAAATCCGATATAATTTATCGTAATCAATTAATTAATATGTTGGTTAATCGTATTTTGAAACGCGGAAAAGAACCATTAGCTTATCAATTGTCTATCAAGCCGCTTTGGAGCGGTTATGAAACTAAGGATGGAGCCTATGACACAAATATACATCTCTAGTAATTAATAAGGCTACTATTTATCGGGCGAATGTCTAACTCCAACATGTCGTATCACGTTAAAATCAATTCCACTCATACACGATTGATTTATACATGTCAAGTCAAAATTATATCGTATATAGTTTGATCTGCATTGACTTATATTCAATAATTTTGATTCAGCTTCATGACTCATATAAAATTTGGGTGGGTTTGTGTAAATTTAACAGTTGAAGGGACCATGGATCACGCTTATGCTCGAAACCAGAACAGTTTTTTTTACCCCATTAAAATTGCAGCCCTTAACAATTGTATAAGAAGAATAAACAGTGCATTTCTATACTCAATCAGACAACTTTGAGGTGGGAATTGTATCATATCATCGGATGGATTCATGTCGTGTCAAAATATCTACTCGACTAAAAATTTATAATTCTAAAACACCATTTTGCATTATACGGGTAGAACAATATCAACCATATAGCCCATTCGATACATTGGTAATGTCGGGTTAGATGAATTTCATTTCCACATGCTAACCACTTTATATTGGTCATTTTCTTAAATTAACAAATTTTAAACAATCTATATTCAAAAAGGGCTAGACCGACTTTATGAATTATCGTAGATATTGTATATACTCATTTTGCGAATCATATTCGCATTTGTGAATATAAACATGTCATGTGAATTGACAATAAAATCAATAATAGGAACACAATTAATGTCAACTTAAACCTACTAATTATGTAATAGATTTAAATCACATTAACACGTAATGACGTAAAAAAAAAAAGAAAGGTGCAATATCTATTCAGTTGCTTTACGCTCTTTTGACTTTGACGTTTTAGTGGACTCACCAATGAGGCCATGCCGAGCATCTCCTCTTTTGAAGATGCATCTCAAGTGTGTTTAATAGGTGCAATATCTATTCAGTTGCTTTACAGATTGACAAAACACTCGGTAGATGCCACTAAAATATGTGCAACTTTGTGTGTGTGTGAGAGAGAGAGGAATATCAGAATTGAGTAAAAACAATAAGACTCAAAGGTCAGATTCTCATAATATAATATGTTCGAATGAAATCAGGGGATATGCTGAATCCCTTTTACCCTAGTCTTGTACCTTTGAGTGGAAGCTGGCCGGAAACCCCCTCGCCCCCACCAAAAAAAAAAAAAACACACAAATTTTTTTAAAAAAACACCAAAAACTCAAGAATAAAATTATATACAATACTTTTAGTAGTTAATCAATCATTTGATATCGTTTGTCTTTTGAGAGGGCGAAATAGAAGAAAAATAATGAAACCTGTTATAACTATTGAATAACCTAATTTTTACGTTCTCATTAATAATAAATATTTTTACCTTTGTAATTATTCGTCAAATCCTGTTCATTTTCATCCAAGTTCAGATTTGTCTGATTAATATTTGTGGAAGAAGAAGCAGCTCACCCACCATTGTAACAGATCAAAGAAAAACAATTGGCACACAAATAACACAAACTATTAGAGATGTACTATTGTTTTTTAAAACGTTGATCGGTGACGAACTTTAGAATTTAAATTATAAGGAATTAATTATATAGGGACAAGCTTTATATTTGGAATCAATTAAATGAACGAGTACTTTAAATTTTTGGAAAAAAAAAAGTTGATAAATAAATTATTATAATTTGGGGTATATAATGAAGATAAAAAAAATATTTCTGTCCCATATTTTCTATGTATCATATTTCTGACTATTTTTGGACTATATCCAATAGAAATCAAAAATCAAAACTTTTACCCAAATTTGAGTAAAAAAAAAAGGGTAAAAAACTTGATTTGGTATAAACCTTTCTAATAGAATGTCAAATGAATGTCAATGATTGAATCAATAAGTCTCATAAAAAAAAAAAGTTAACAAAATCCATTAATTCAACCACCCGCATTCACTTGGTAAATTTTTTTGATAAGCATAACATTACGCTTCTAAGAGAATTAGTTGATGCACACGTGCGTTGCACGTGAATTACTTTCAATATAAAATCTTATATATTAAAACCATGATCCACTTTTTTGCAAAATCACATCATTGATAAGCATTGATCAATAATTAAATAAGAATCCCGTTCCATAAGAAAAACCAAAAAACTATTAATTAAAATAATATTTAAAGTTGGTACAAATGCATTGTTTTGCATTTCACCTAATATTGCAAGCTTTTGATAACATTCTTGTTTGCAAGCTACTCCATCATTTTGAAGTTCTCATAGCATAATTGGAGAAACATTGTATAGTTTTACCAAATGAAGCTGAAGCAACAATTATATGTGAGTAGACACCTTTCCGCTCAACAAAATGGGATGATTTTGTTTATGGCTCTGATTAAAGATATGTGAATGCATCAAAATTGGCGAGTACCCCGACGAGAAACATAATACAAAATTAGGTTCTAATGTTCTTTGTACGTTGACTTTGCAATGTAACGGAAAAAAAATTAGTTTAGTTGAATTAGACAATGCCTTCCATGGAAAAAAAAACACAAAAAACAACATTTCTTACATTCCATTTTAACACAAACATTTTAGTCATTCCCAGATCAATTGTAATAGACATTACTGAGTAATTTCAAATAAATTTTCAACCTAAACTGTATGCCATAAAGAGTTGTCTTGGAAAGAATTAGACAAAAGATAAGCCCAACTCTTAATTCAAATCTTCGAGCAAGGCAAAAATATCAATTCCATTAATATTAGATTGACTAAAATTGACACAAAGCATAATTCTGGAACAACATGCACCTTTATAGTTTTATCACATAGGGCAAATCAACGCATAATAATATCGAATTCCTCACGAAATCTTTACCATGACTGACCCCTACACATTCTAACAATCACATTGGATACCAAACACATATAAATTCTTAAATTAGCAAGACAAGTTAATTTTTTTAATGAGAGCCACTCATTCAAGGATCCCTATTCATTTGGGATCCAAAATTAATATTTTCCTTACTAAATTCTTCGAGAAAATTTCATGATGACTGACATCTATCCAGCTCACTCCCAACACCAATCATAATTTACCATTTGGAACTGCAAATAGAATCTCAAGAACTGAACCCATAGCATGGAGAAACAACAATTATGAACATGAAAGCATGCTTCTTTGTTTCTTTATTTTCCTATTTGGCTATGTTGCATCCCAAACAAATTGACTGGAAGACTTCTTTAAATGCAATCTCCACTTCTTTTTTATGATAACATTGGTGCTTCTCATCCGTCCATCAATTCATTTGATTACTTCTTTTAAATTCTTGAGTGTGGACCGATGACTTGGCTGATATTATTAATTTTGACCACATGAAAATCTTTCATTACTTCAATCACTTAAGGCGAGACCCAAAAGTTTCCTTATTTCTTGGACTTCATCTATTCTTAAATTCCCTTATAAGATGATATAGACTATTTTGAAATTAATATTACGATATTATACGTTTGTCAGAGTTGTAAAAGCATTACATGACAATATTTTACTGAAACATCTAAAAATCACCAATAATCCCATGTGTTTTGCGGCAGTTGAAGGACCATAACTACAATATAAAGAAACAACAACCATGTCTGCATTAATTTCAATACTATTCTCACCGTCATATTTACATGGCGGGATATGGCATGTATATGACCCTTACACATTAGAAACTAAGAAAATTTTAATCACATCCATTATATTTTCTTTGTTTCACACATACTTAAATTCCGTGTCANCTTACACATTAGAAACTAAGAAAATTTTAATCACATCCATTATATTTTCTTTGTTTCACACATACTTAAATTTCGTGTTACCTCATATTATTTTATATATTGCTTCCTCACCCACATTCACGCTCTCACCTAAATTAGTCGTAGATCTAATTTGGCCATGTGAGCAACCATGTTTCCATAGCCACAATAAGAATGCTAAAGCATTATAGAACCATAAAGTTCAACTTGAGACTAAAACATACACATGCTTCCATTATTCTTCTTGACTTTTGCAAATTTCAAACTACATATAATTATTTTATGAGCATAGATGCACAAACACAGGGAAAAATAGATCTTTTGTACAATTTCCCTCACAATCCCCATAATATTGCCCTAGCCAATCAACATATTACCACATTTCCGGCAGGTCTCCTTTGAGGATACATGACATATTGTTCACTTAGAGCCCATTTTAAGAATACATGAGATGGTTCAGAATATAATTACCTTTTCCTCCCTCCATATCATAACGACCAATAACTTTGCAACTCAGTATGCAACCAAAAAATCCAACTGCCAATAGTGCATGTGTAAAAAGTAAAAATGAATAAACAAGAAAAGTATGAGAGCAAAACACTACTTCCCAGTCACAAACTCACTCAAAACAATTTGTCAATTTCTTTTCTATTTTTCTAAATCTTAACCCCTAAAAAGAAGATTGACGATTAACAAACATACCTTAAATTTTTATTACATCATGCGGAAGGTGACGGGGCTCTAGTTCATTCATAAGGCAAAGCCTGAAACCAAACATTTAATAACTTGATGGGGCCACTTACAGCAACTATCTGGCTCGCAAGTAGTAGTTTTTAGTTTAATGACATTCTCAAGAGTTGATTAGATTGGGTCCAAATTATCCGTAGCATTACTTTTAAGTTACAAGAGTGAACTATCTATCTTAACGGAGAGACAACACTCTATTTGAGTCATGGTAAATTGACATGGACTATGTATAAGAGTTGGAGAAAAGGAGAGAGAGAGGGGTCTAGGAATGAGACACTTATTTTCTTAATTTTTTGTTATGTGTAAAAAATTGGTCCCCATTTTTCTTACTAAGTTGATCGAGCCCACATTAAAAAAGAAATAGAATGCGTACCTAAATTGAGCAGCATTCTCAGATTATTAGTCCTTGAGGGCTATATTTGCACCATTGGAACAATCCTTCTCCAACTCAATCTCATATGATGAAAGCAACCTCCTCTGCACCAAAATACTAGGTATCAGAGATTATGGGAGTAGATAAGACTATCACAATGACATGTATCAACCATTTTTTCCAGCTTAGTTGCTTTTATAGCAAGAAATGCCATAGTCCTTCAAATATGTAGTTCACTCAGAACTACAGGGTAAAAATTATTTGGCTAAAAAGCAATATATAAAAAGGCCACGCCAGCAACTAAATTTTTATCCAAAGCTGCTGAAGAGCAGTTCATATCAAAGGAGACTTTCTTAAGTCGGCCAATAGTTTACACTGATGTTATAGGCTTCAAGAAATATAATGCAACAATTAAGCATAGTAAGCACTTACATGATCCTCAAAATTTGGGCTGGTCAAATTTGATGGAGAGGTTTCTCATCAACAATAACACCTGGACAAAAGCCAAAAAAAAGTATAAAATAACTACAACACAGTTCTTGAAGCATAAATAGACGGCATAGCTATAACTCAAAAGATGATGGATTTGACGTCAAACTCACATTCAATCACACACATACAAATAGGGAATGCAAACATGGATTTGACTTCAATAATAGCATGCAGAGTTCCATCAGTTCATTAAATCTATTTTTTTTTTTTAATTTGGCTCCTCATTTTGTCAAGAGATTTCCCTTGGCAATAATCCCATATGTCATCTCATCCCATTCCTAATAATATTAACTACATCCATGGAAAGAAAGTCTAGTCATAACGATACAAACTCCACCGCACATATAATGGACTTGATAATAGAGATCAACTGGACGAATTGTAATTGAAAAAACACTTTCTTAGAAAAGTGAAGAGCAAGGAACCAAGCATGCAGAATTACTTTGACAGTAAATATTTTATCCCAATATATACTGAATAGACTATATGCTTTTACCCTAGTTCAAGCAATGAAGCAACCTACAATGACCATATGTAACAGCATTCCACTAATCCCACTATTTACAAAATATCAACATGAACTACAAAAGTGCAGATATCTGTTTATTAAAGTTGCACCTATATCCCACCCAAACTTCTGCTGAAGTAAAAGCTTTCTTCCCATACATTTACCATGGCACAAGAAAAGAAAATTGTTTCAAAACTATACAGGTCAAAAAGCTTACTGTTTCAACATCAATTGGATCCATTTTCTTTAGTTTTTGCATGTGCCCAGTAACATTTGGGTCAAAGACACTGCCAATGAAGCTGTACACTTGAGCAAAGTCGGGCAAAACTGCATAAGCAAAATAGGTATTAATGCTAGCCATACAATGAGAAACATACACAACAAGAATATGTATAACCGCAGAGAGCAGAAAGATTAATATTGCAAACCAATAACTTTACAAGCAGAAGCAGCAACGCCAACAAAGGAGGAGAAAAAACCTCATACAAATAAATAGAAATTTAGAGGTAGAAATGTTTTTCCATATGTAGGCATAATCCATAAATTTCTAATTCTTACTGAATTCAACTCTTCAAACACTTGGTTCAAATGATATAGAAGTTAGCCATAAAAGTTATAGTTACCTCTCAATGAAGGTCCATTACTCGTTTGATCAGCTACTTCACCAGCTGGGTGTGTGAAATTCTATAAGAGGGTAGTCCCAAAACCTTGCCCCCAGAGAAGCAAAAATATTGAACTTGGGAAAAACATTAAAATTGCAAATTCACGACACNAGAGGGTCGTCCCAAAACCCTGCCCCCCAGAGAAGCAAAAATATTGAACTTGGGAAAAACATTAAAATTGAAAATTCATGACTCTCTGGTTGTATAATCATCATCAATATGATAGAAAATAGAACCCAACAATGATTTTAAAGAAAGCAAATTGTAAAACACAAAAGACCCAATCTTAAAATTCATAGAACACAACCAGTTGACATTTTCTGAGATTAGAGAACGAACCGGGGGTCTCCATCTTACAATCTCAAACTAAATCTCTCGAGCTTCATTATCCAGGAAGTACTCTAACGGCTCAACTGGAGTGTTCGGTACAACTAAAGACTAAAAAAATAGCAGAGAACAACAAAATTACAGTCACATAAACTGTACATATAGATGCGTTGAAACAAAAAATAGCACAATTCTCAATCCAAAGGCATCTAGACAGAAATCCCATAATTGGAAAACCTATGATCACCGAAATAAAAAATAGTCGCTACAACCCTATATCTGCATCAATCTCAACTAGTGCATGTCACATAATGGTTCTCCATGTCTGCAGCAGAAATATAAAATACCATTGTCCGTCAATCAGAAAATATGAAACCTTAGAGAAAAAATCGAAAAACCAAAAAAAAAGCAAGAATACCCAATAACTTAAAATGATCTAAAGCTTGGATTCAATAAGAGAGTATCTGAACATAATTCAATCCAAAGTAAACAAAAAACTTACAATTCCCACAAGAAAGGAAGAAAGTGCACAAATCCAAAAATAAAGGCAACTCTTGCCCCCAAAAAATCAGGATCAAGAAAAACTCATCAATATAAATCGTAGTCTTGGAACCTCTAGAGACAGACGGAGAGGGGGAAGGTGAAGAGAGGGGGCATGACTATTTCTTCTCGGCCAATTTGTGAATAACAGAGATGAGAGAGAGTGAGTAACGACTGAGAGAGAATAAATAGGGGAGAGAGAGATGTGACTGACTGAGATGATTTAGGTTTATTATGGTACTAGAGATAACCCGTGCCTGAAGGCACGGAGCAACTAAAAAAAATTGAACATTAAATTTGAACGTGAAATATTCACGCACTAAACTCGGACACATACTAAACTAAAAGTCTAAACTCGCCCTATATCACGTGTCTGAAGGCAATGTACATAATTCTTAAATAGGGAACAATCAAACAATGAATATAAACATGAATNTACCTTTGTAATTATTCGTCAAATCCTGTTCATTTTCATCCAAGTTCAGATTTGTCTGATTAATATTTGTGGAAGAAGAAGCAGCTCACCCACCATTGTAACAGATCAAAGAAAAACAATTGGCACACAAATAACACAAACTATTAGAGATGTACTATTGTTTTTTAAAACGTTGATCGGTGACGAACTTTAGAATTTAAATTATAAGGAATTAATTATATAGGGACAAGCTTTATATTTGGAATCAATTAAATGAACGAGTACTTTAAATTTTTGGAAAAAAAAAGTCGATAAATAAATTATTATAATTTGGGGTATATAATGAAGATAAAAAAAATATTTATGTCCCATATTTTCTACTAGAGATAACCCGTGCCTGAAGGCACGGAGCAACTAAAAAAAATTGAACATTAAATTTGAACGTGAAATATTCACGCACTAAACTCGGACACATACTAAACTAAAAGTCTAAACTCGCCTTATATTACATGTCTGAAGGCAATGTACATAATTCTTAAATAGGGAACAATCAAACAATGAATATAAACATGAATTAAGCTAAAAAATCGTTTCTTCATTTTTAATGTCCCAACTTTAGTGAAATAAAAAGGGTCAAAATGCTTTCGTTTTAGTTATTAGAGAGATGGTTAAAACTTGAAGCTATCATTTATGTTATTTAATCTAAAAATACTTATTTTGTTCTTTTAAAAATATTTGGACATAATTTCTTCTAAAAATATGATCCCAATAGATTATCAACATGTATAGACAATCAATAAAATACTAATTACACAACCTACCATCTAAAAAACAAACAAACTGTGAAACAAATTGCAATCCTCAACCTATATTGCACCCAAGTTATATAACAAATACTTACTCTTCAACAACCACTCAAACATCATACNGAAGGCACGGAGCAACTAAAAAAAATTGAACATTAAATTTGAACGTGAAATATTCACGCACTAAACTCGGACACATACTAAACTAAAAGTCTAAACTCGCCTTATATTACATGTCTGAAGGCAATGTACATAATTCTTAAATAGGGAACAATCAAACAATGAATATAAACATGAATTAAGCTAAAAAATCGTTTCGTCATTTTTAATGTCCTAACTTTAGTGAAATAAAAAGGGTCAAAATGCTTTCGTTTTAGTTATTAGAGAGATGGTTAAAACCTGAAGCTATCATTTATGTTATTTAATCTAAAAATACTTATTTTGTTCTTTTAAAAATATTTGGACATAATTTCTTCTAAAAATATGATCCCAATAGATTATCAACATGTATAGACAATCAATAAAATACTAATTACACAACCTATCATCTAAAAAACAAACAAACTGTGAAACAAATTGCAATCCTCAACCTATATTGCACCCAAGTTATATAACAAATACTTACTCTTCAACAACCACTCAAACATCATACCACTTTGGAGACCACATAAAATCACAAACTAAACAGCCCCCATTACCCACATAAACCAAGAAACCAAACCCTATTAGTTATTTTTTCAAATATCTTGCGACCAAGTCTAAAAAATAAAAATTAACAAAATTGTGAGCATACTCCAATGAAAAAAAAGAGCAAACTAATTGGAAATTGGAATTGGGACACAATAGCAAACAAAAATCANGACCACATAAAATCACAAACTAAACAGCCCCCATTACCCACATAAACCAAGAAACCAAACCCTATTAGTTATTTTTTCAAATATCTTGCGACCAAGTCTAAAAAATAAAAATTAACAAAATTGTGAGCATACTCCAATGAAAAAAATTGGAATTGGGACACAATAGCAAACAAAAATCAATGTGTGTTGTGGATGGGTCTATGCGAGTGTGGGTTGGGCAGAGAGGGAAGAGTGTGTGCGTGTGTTTATTCTGTGTGTGTGAACTTTTTTAGGGGGGGTCGTGTCTTAGGCAAGCAAAGAAAAAGGGGGGGGGGGTATTATATCAAAGCTGGACACAATGTATTTTCAAATCTCTGAAAAATAAAAAACACAATTTTGAGTTAATTTTTGATTTTTTTGCTTTTTTCAACTAATCGTTTTTCCTGAGGTGCAATTTTTTGATTCAAAATAGGTGCAATGTGTTAAATAAAAAATATTTATTATTTTTGGCCAATATATCCATCATGAGCTTGCAGCTTATGAAGTGGCTCAAAATTGGTCATAGTCTGCAACAGGACACAATATAAGTTTTAAATAATAATTTCATAACTTACAATGAATATAACATCTAAGACTTAAATTCATGAAAATAATACTTGCATTCCTCACAACAGGCGCCAAACATAGCATGTTCCACGATTGTTTGCAGCCACGATCAAGCTTCCATACCATATTACTGTCAAAGACTTTATAGCTGTATCGATCTCCGGCACCTGTGTTTACACCATAGGTAATAAAAAGATTTTGATACATACCTAACTCTTTAAGAGAGAGAGAGACAGAGAGAGAGCACCAGAAAGCAAACATCCACATACCCACCAAATCTATAATATATAAAAGAACCATAGATTTTCACCAAGACAATGCAACAAAGTTTTGGGCCCATCAAAGCGCATAAGTTTTCTTATCAAAATATAGAGCAAAAAAACATAGAAAGCAAAAGATCACTTCATCAACTTTTGATTGTGACTCTGGTCTAAAGCAAGAGATGCAATATGTAGTGAAGGTACAGAACATCAGAGCACCAACTCACAACTGCATGAATTTGCCGTCAAGTCCCATGCTCGAATATTGCCATTTTGGTCCCCAGATATCAGTCCAGTCTGCAATGACTCAAAACTACTATTAGANACTGCATGAATTTGCCGTCAAGTCCCATGCTCGAATATTGCCATTTTGGTCCCCAGATATCAGTCCAGTCTGAAATGACTCAAAACTACTATTAGATAAGAATGTTAGACTAATGACCTCAAACAGCATGGTCTGTTACTTAAATGTGTAGAGAAGTGCCAAAAACAGTAACAAAGTATTTAAAAGTCCAATTAGAAATATATAGCAAAAAGACATAAAGTTATTGGTTCCTATTGCTTTAAGCTCTAATAACTTTGTACACAGACAAACTAAACACATGGGAAGAAAGCAGAATGACATGGAGCCATGGCTTTGACATGAGTTATAAAAACTCATTATTCCATTAAATACCAAGAATCAGCTTAATAAGAGCACAAATCTCCAAAAAAAATTGAAGTTTTGGTCCTCAATTGCTCCCAAACAAAAGAAAAAGACAAAATAAACATAAAAAAGTTGAAAACGGAACAAACACCGATCAAATCGACATGGCTATGCATCTAAAACTTATCAACTTCCAAGTGCTGATTTCAATAATTAAAATCCTATTAAAAGAACCATGAAGCTGATTCATCCACAAAATTGGATAGACAAAGAAAAAAATTAGAGTTTAACCTTCACAATTTCTACACACAGAACTGCTTCTAGTGTTCATTCTTTCTTTGGGGCTGTTTCCAATTTGCTAACCTTTGCATTCAGTAAACCTAGAGCACATATATCTTTCATTACACCATGATCCACTATTTAAATATTCAATCACCTTTTTAGTAACACTACTACCAATAACATATTGCATGTAATTATAACCTCATATGAATCTCATATCAAAATAGTTAGCGTAACAAACAAAATTTCAATAGTTAATATAAAAAATCTATTATTTAAAAAAAAATTTGACAGAGTTCTCTTTAAAAACATGGACCAGTACACAATATCAACCAATGTACAATTCATAATCAAACCTATACGTAAATAAAAACTATCTTGCATCAAAAATCTCATCACATCACATATTGTTGTTACCACTATTTATCAAGTGCTGCAATATAATGACCCAAATATCTAATACCAAAATGAATAAGATACAAATATAAACTGAATTAACACCAAACTTAAGCTAATATGAATAACTAAGTATATTCATTCACCCTACATAAGCCAAATAATCATCAATTAAAAAATTAAAATTCACTAAACAAAGTTGAAACTCGAGCACTGGTTAATTTTCAACCTTGTTAAAATTAATTGGGGTCCACCAATTTTTGACAGAACCCCAAAGTCATCGCACTCACCAACCATAATCCTGCCTTAATAAAAAGATTTACTAACTACCACAACATAGACGCACTAATATTCATGCAATTAATGACCAAACAACAAACTTTTTTCCTTGGACAACACATAAACCCACATGAAAATCACACACATTTCTTATTTTATAATCCCTTGGTTTTAAAAAAAAAAAAAAAAAAAGAATTACAGTTTAACCATCCGTTTATTTTGCATCAATGTTGATCAAGCTGCGAAAGCAAGGGAATAAAAGAAAGAAATATAAAGTAAAAGAAATAAATAAAAGAAAGCAACTTCAACATGAATACAAATATCATTTCTTAAAAAAAAATAGTGGATGAGTTCTTGATATCCAACTACTATGCAGATGAAGTGAAAAATATACATTGAGATGGTTGTTAGCGCAACTTATTAATCAAGACAATTGCAACCGTGTAACATAGAAATAGAATTCTAGTTAGGCGGTTCTACTAAATTGATTTTTCAAAGCATGTTATTATGTTAACTGCTCCTTGAATTTTTTACTTCTGCAATAAAAGAATTTCAATGAAGTTAAATCCACAACCTCTTGTCAAACATGACACTTTTATCACTCAATACAAAATCAAGGAAGAATCACTTATAATAAAAGTGAGAATCACCTTCTAAAATGAACACTTAATCCAATAGCAACAACATCCATCATTTTGATCCTATTATTTAAAACATAAAGATTGTGATGAACCAACAAAGATAGCCATTAAGCAAAAGATACCTAGTTAACAATATTTAAGTAATTAATTAAAAAAATTAGAGAAAGGAAAAGTGAAAAAACATAACAAAGTAGTCGTATGATGAAAAAGCAATGAGTTGGATTTAAAAAAAAAAATAAGACTCATATGATGCAACTATCCAAAATTAAAATACCAACTGAAAATTCCCTTTTCACATACCTAGTGTGAAAAAGGTTGCACTTATGAAGAAGCTTTGAAGGGATGGTGAACTAAGGCTAGGGATAATGAACTAAGGCTAGGGATAATGAACTAAGGCTGGGGACCGTGAGATTGCAATACAATCACTGGCAAAGATCACAACATCTATAATACAAAACACTATTATTTACTTTTGAGATTGTTGTTTAGAGACACAAAACACAGAGATGCAAAAATATAACCATGAAGACACTATGTAACACACCGTGTGTGGAGTTTTTGGATCATCATAGGTGGGATTCTTGGTCTTAGAAGCTACTATTTCCACTATGTATCTTGTAAATTGACCTGTAGAATTTTTGTCACTGCTTTGTCGAGAAGCATTGTCAAAGTGACATACGCCTCCATTCTCAAATTGTTTAGTATTTGCAATATGGGGGTTGGCATTCGGGATCCTTAAAATTGGAGAAATCCTTAAAATTGGATCCAAAAGAAGAGCAATAGATTACTAACCCAAACAATCAAATAAACTCAATCGGCAAAAAAATATGAACGACTATTTTTTAATTGATTTTATTCCATCAAGCCACCAGGCCTACCAATTTTCACTGCAAGCCACCAGAAAATAAAATTTACGACATGCAAATTAGGAAGTGAGCAACATATTTGAACCATAAATTAGGTATACAATTGAACAATAACAACATAATAAGTCATTTCTATTATTGTTGGACCCAATTATTTTACCTAATTTTCGGAGAGTGACTTTCCGCTTGTGAGGCTGAGGCTGAGCTGGTGCTTCCTTGGCCTCGCGAGCAGCTCCCTTGGCCAAGTTCGTCTGGGCCAAGTAATTCCCCTCATTGTTGTGCAGTGTCAAACAGAGCTTGCACTCATAACTTCAAAATCCCAATTTTCACAACAACATCAATTTCAACTAATCATTTAAACACACACACACACACAAAAATATATATAGAGAGAGAGAGGGGGGAGAGAGAGGTAATTGGACCTGCCGAGATGATTGCGCATGAAATAAGGATCTTTGGCAAGATCGATGGTTTCGAGGGCAAGTCTCTGCAACTGTTCACGGTGATCGATGGCTTCATTCTGGGCGGAGGCGGTGTCTCCGCTACCGGGATTTGAACCCCATTCTCTATCCATCTCTTCGTTTGCTTCATTCTGGGCGATGACTTCTCTCGTATTCTCTTGGAGGTGAAAAAGAGAGGGGAGAGAGAGAGAGAGGAGAGTTTACTTGGGTTGGTGGGGGTGGCCGGTGAAGGTTGAAAGGGAATAGAGAGGTTGCAAAGGAGGAGACGGACAGAGAGAAGAAGAAGAGAGACGTTGAGCCCTTGGGAATTGTGTCTGACAACTGAGTTGGGCACTGTGTAAAGNTCCAAACTTATATATATATATATATATATATATATATATATATATATATATATATATATCTTCAAAAATATCCCCTCTATTTTTTGAATTTGAATAACACCCCACTTGTTAAATTAAAGGCCTTAACTGGAATATAATTTTACTAAATTACTCATGATATATTTTAGAAAAAACTTCATTCACACCTCTCTAGATAGACATATCTTCAATAAGATTTCCTCTGTTTTATGAATTTTTTTATTTATTAAAATTCAGGCCGATTAAAAATTCGGATCGAATCAAATTTTAATCGGCTTAAATCAAATTTTAATTAACTCGTATTGAATTTTAATCGACCAAAATTTTGATACATAAAAAATATATATTTTAATCAACTTGAATCGAATTTTAGTCGGTGTTAGCAGTTCAGATTGAGCTCAAATTGGCTCGAATTTTAATACTAAAAAAAATAAAATTTAATTAGCTCAAATCAAATTTTAAACGGCTCAAATTTTAAGTAGAAAAATTATTCAAAGTTTACGTAGGGATAATTTTGGTGGTTTATTGACAGTGAGTATTAGTGATGTTTAAATATAAATTAAAAGGGGTCTCAGTGATGTTTTTGATAATAGANCTCAAATCAAATTTTAAACGGCTCAAATTTTAAGTAGAAAAATTATTCAAAGTTTAAGTAGGGATAATTTTGGTGGTTTATTGACAGTGGGTATTAGTGATGTTTAAATATAAATTAAAAGGGGTTTCAGTGATGTTTTTGATAATAAAGAGAATATCTTTAAAGATATGATAAATTATAAGGGGTGTGGTTGAAATTTTTCCATCAATTAATTAAGCTCTCCCATCCACTTAGCCCTATGATCAAGAAAGCTTGTAATTTTCTAAAAAGCAATGATCAAGAAAAAGAAGCTTCATTCTCATTGGCTGAGGAAGGAGAGCTCACCACTGTATTCTAGGGGCCACTAGTCCAATACTGGATGATTAAACAAATACCAATAAAAGAAAAACTAGTGATATAATATTTTAATACTTAACCAACCAAACGATCCAGATCCATGTGCAAGTTGTTTTCTCTTGTGTTCATGAAGGACAAACCGAAAAATATTATTAGAGAGGTTTACTTTGAAAATTCAAGCAACTTCGAAAAAATAGGCTTGAAGTATTTCTTTTTTTTTTTTTGATATTTTTTTCTAATAGAAAAATGGAGAGGAAATTCATCTTAAAGAATTTCTCTTAAAAAGGTACGACAATTTCAGAGTACTGAAAACAGTGGAGGATCAAGGTTTCAAAGTCTCATCAGACAAAGGAAGTCGATCCTCACTATAGAGTAGTTGAAAGTTTTATGATTTCATCAACAATTTATCAGCATGATCCGATGGTAACAAACTTTGAACAAACAATCACAGATTCACATACCCTTTATATGCACACACACACACAAAGGGTCTTATTATGCAGTTTCAAAGGATGTGAAAGTAACAGAAAGAACCCGAGAGAGAATAAAATGGTCATACCTTTTTAATGGAGTGTTGACAGACATACCTTGGCACAGTTGATTTCCTTTTCTTGAAGACCAAGAAGATAGCTCTCTGGTGTGTATCTCAGCAGTGACAGAAAAAAGGAAGACGGCTCTCACAGATGGGAAGCATCTGGATGTTAATTTATAGCTCCTCTATCTAACCAGCTTAAGCCACGTGGTCTTCAATATATATATGTATTGGTATATGTATAGCAATGTGGAGAGAGAGAGAGAGAGAGAGAGTTGCTGATTCCTTTGTCTTGACTTCCCTGTTTGGCGTTCTGCAGCTTATTTGTTTATTTTTTATTTTTTTGGTTGAACTGGATTTTGCAGATTGTTCAATATAGCATTCGGTTCCTATCCTATCAGCTAACGATTTTGAGACGAGTCTAAAAAAAAAATTATTCAAATTCGACTTATTTAAAAAATAAACTAAGCTCAAATATTTGTGCATAAACTAGTTGAGCATGCCGAATTTGAGTTGAACTAAAACAAACAAAAAACAAGCCGAGTTTGAGTAGATTAGTAGCTCTACAATTGAGTTTGGATCTGGCGAATTTGTGAAGCTTGACTCACATGGGCCGCAAGATTATTAAATTTTTTATAGTTCAAAATTTACATTGTCTCAATTTTGAACTATTAATTCACATTGTCTCAATTATAAATATTCGTTATTTTTTTGGACTGAAATTATTGTCGTGTCTGGACAAATTTAAAAAAATTAAATAGTTTAGGGACAAAATAAAATAAATTTTTGTTAAATATTTGACGGACGTTAATAATTAGGATAATACGAAAATTAATTACATAGTTGAGAGTGTAATGTGAAAATTATGATATTTAAGAAGACAGTGAAAAAAGAGTCATAATTGAAGGGTCAAAAATGTCATTTGCCCCGTTAACGGTGCAACGTGGAAAAAAAATGATATTTAAGAAGACAAGACTCATGTGCGCTGGACTAAATATAGAACTTAATCTTTTTTTCTTTTGGTCACATTTGAAACATTTATAGGGGAGGAGTAAGGTTCAAACCTGCGCCCTAACAATTAAACAATTAGACTACGATGCCATTTGAAACCCCCACCCCCGAAAATCTACCCCGAAACCCACCACCTCCCACCCCCCGAAACCCACCACCCCCGAATTTAGATAGCTTGGCAGAGTTCTTTGATGAAAAGACAGAGCCTTCGGTTGGAAGTAGCAGAGAAAGAAAGAAGATAGAGGAGGAGAGCTTCCTTCATTTAGGTCTTTTATATGGTGAGGGAAAAAGAAAGATTTTTTGTTACTAATGAGATTCGAAGTCAAGACGTCACTAAATGAGATCCTATCTTCTGCTTGTGTGTTTTTTTTTTTTTATGTTTTCAAAATGGATAAAAAAAAAACGAAAACATTAGTCAATCATATTTTTATTTTCATTTGTCCTAAAAATTGAAAAAAAAAAAAACAGAAACTTGTGGTTACCAAACGCAACTTAGGCTACGGAGCCATTAGACCACTATTGATTCTCTATAAGGTAGTTGCTTATTCCTCATTCTTGAATCAAACACCTATAGTTTGACTGGTACCAAGAAATAGTAGAAAACTTAAAAATGAAAGAAATGGATAAAGCCAATGGACCTTTGGTCCAATGATATTTTTTACCTTGTGAAAGTTTTGTCTTTTTTAAAAGGCTTTGTTCCCCCCCCCAACAAAATTTTTTTTTTTAAAAAAAAGAATGAATAAAAACATTATATTTAATTAAAAAGAAAAATTCGAAAGAATAAAAGTGAATGGGGTAGTCTTTCTTCTAACTCAACAAAATCTCACCTCACAAAAATTAGAAAAAAGTGTGAAAAAATAAATAAATTTATGTCGAAATATAGATTTTTAACCTTCATACCCCCTTAATATGTTCATATCCTAATTATTCTATTATGTATTATGTATAGGTTAATTTCATATGAGGATATAATGATAAAATGCACATACTTTTTTCTCTTTTTTTTTAATACTAATTCATTCGTACAAAACATTAACAAAATTAATTCATCTTACTTTTCACCCATCCTAACAAATATAAAGGTGAAAAAAAATTTCTTTACTTTGATTATAAAAAAAGTGAATCTCTTTCACCGATTGTAAGAATCTTCGGTGAACAGATTTTGAACCGATTGTAAGAATCTTCGGTGAGCAGATTTTGGCCAATCAACCAATACAATCCGATTCTGATAACACTAATCCTATCCCATGGACCACTAACATAAACTTCCAAATAGCTAAATGGGTCTTCCCAGCTAAATTGGATAATTTTTTTGAATATTCATTGTATGATTTGTGCAATATATATATATATACTAGCGATAGTTGTGTTAGAAGACACTTTGTAATACTTAAAATCAAACATTGATTGTGCAACATTTATATTTAAAAAATAATTTAGTTTTTTTTAATTATAAAATTTAAAATTAAAATGAAGAGAGATGTAAGATTGAATTGATAAATTGTGTGGCATTAGAAAGTGTGTTTAGTGAGTTGTTTGACATTGGAGTCTGTGCAAACAAGATGGTGTTTTTGAGCGAGAAAAAAATTTTGGGGATAAATTTTGTACTATTAAATCAAAGTAGATTAAGATTGGATTAATATTAACCGTTGTTATGCTTTTATAAGTTGAGAATTCAACTTTCTAGGTATAATATTATATATATATACACTCTCTCTCTCTCTCTCACACACACACACACTAAAAGGGATCCATCAAATGATCCGTATATGCTGTGTAATGTGCAATGATTAATTTTGTGAGGCAATTATAGTTAATTAGATGGATAATCAAATCATGGGGTCCCTGATCATGGTAAAGTGCTTTTGATCACAAATGAACGCCACCACACATGGTAGTTCTCTTTGTGAAGATCAAGCTTAAAAGAAGCCAATTTGTATAACACTTCAACTTTAGCTAAAGAGTAAAGATCAAACTTTACAACAAGTGGAAGTGCAAGTGGAATTGGAATGGCAATGGTGGTGGAATTCTGAAGTTTCTCTTGAAAGTAATTAAAAGAAAATTAGACTTAACATGGGTGGGCCTCAGATGCCATGCATGCTTCTCATAATTGTCTCCTGGTAAATAAATCAAATTTTAATTTGAAATCGATTTGAATTCAAATTCAATTAGTCTAATATGAATTTATATTTTAACCAATTATCTGAATTTATATTCAAATTTTTTATTCTATGCATTATAGATTTGAAGTTGAATATACTAACATTTTATCTGAGT